GCCAAAATGAATTTAGTATCATTATCAGTTCAAGTTGATATTCAAGTGCTTGAAATCAGACAACTTGCTCATTCACAGACAAAGCTGTTTCAGTGATGTAATAGAAGAGAAAGGCATGCCTATCAAATCAGCTACATGTAAAGCAACAAGGATTAAAGAGAGGGCAATAAATCCATTGGAAAACACAAATGATGCTGGCTTCAGTGGAGAATGTGCTACTGAAAAAGAACCTATCCATTAGGTATGGTGGCAAGCCCCAAAATAAAATAGCCTGTTGGAATAGTCTCAGTTCACATGTTTAAAAACAGTGAGCCAGGACTCAAACTGCCAAAAAAATAGCCTTTAACAAAGGGAATATTTAAGTTTTTTCTCACTTGATTTCCAAGAGTGGTAGCATTTGTTGTCCCCATTGTTAAGCTTTGCTGTAAAACAGTAAGAATTACAAATCTGATTCCAAGATCCCCTGAGGTTATCAAGAAATAACCTTATGGCTCTGAGTCAAGCATGAAGTACCAAAAAAGCTACTGGCAGCACTGAGGAAGTCACAATTTTATCCTTTCTCTCTTTTCTTTCAGAAAAGGATCTAGGAGTCCACGTAAACAGCCAGGTAAACATGAGTCAGTAATGCACCCACACAACAAAGGATAACAGCCTCCTGTGATGCCCTAGGAAGAGCACTGTCAGCAGGTGAAGGGAGATGATCTTTCACTTCTGCTCAGGACTGACGAAACATCCAGAGTACTGGGTCCAGTTCTGGGCTGCCCAGTTCACAGGAAACATGGACATACTGGAGCGATACAATCAACAGGCCACAAACATGATCAAGGGATTGAAGCACCTGTCATAGAAAAATAGGCTGAGAGGCTAGCCTCAAGAAGAGGTGTGTCAAGAGGGATCTTATCAATGCATGCAGACAAGTATAGAAGATGGCACCGGACTCTCAGTGGTATCCAGTGAAAGGAGAAGAGGCAGTGGGTACAAACAGAAATACAGGAGATTTCATTTAAAATTAAGAAAAATCTTTTTCCCTGCAAGGGGGGTCAAACACAGCAACAGCATGCTCCAAGAGGTTGTTCAGTCTTCATCCTTACAATATTCAAAGCCCAGCTGGACATGACCTGGCAACTGCTTAGAGCAGAGGATTGGACTAGTAGATCTCCAAAGGCCAACTACGACTATCTCAACTACAGGTATTCTGTGCTTTTATTGTTCTTTGTCGCTAAAACTGAACTCAATTTTTTCACCTTCCATGTAACTTCAGGAGAGAAAGTGATGCAAAAGCTGTTGTATAAGGAATGTATTCCAAAAACACCCAGACAACAGCGTCCAAAGGCACATTAACCCCAAGCTATAGGAGGGAGATCCATTTTTGGCAGAAATGCAGAGCCAAAAGAGGCCAACTTGACAGCCACAAACTTATTTTAAGGCCCACTGGGTTAAAGTGAGCAGTGAAGCTACAACATTCTACCCAGTTTATGTTCCTGAAGGCTTCCTTTAGAGCCTGGCCAAAATTTATTCTAGAACTAGAGAGGGGTATTTTTAGATCTGGGCTTTTCCATATCGAAGGGGGCAGGGGGAGAAAGCAGTTCTTTACCTGAGATAACACACCATGATATATCATGTTTGTGTCAACTCTGCCTTCATGTCGACAAAATAACACAAACTGCATCAAAGATCAACATAAGCCATTTCATCGGAAGCCACAAAGGGATCAGTTCTGTCAAGGTTTAAATTAAGGCTGAAGAGCAGATGTTCTGAAGATTTGTCAGCATGGCATGCATAAAGCCTGCATTCTGATTCAGTCAAAACTAATTAGACCTTTCAAGCAACCTCTTTCTACTCCTGTGTATATAACACTTATGGACACATTTGTATCCATCTTTCCTTGACAGAGTGACAAGGTCATGGAAAACTAATGTTCTTCAAGTGGCTGTACCACACCGATTTGGAATAATAGAAAATACTGAAACCTTTACTGACAGGAGTTCCAGCAGCCTTGGCAGAGGAGCATCATGTCAGAAAAGAAGTCCACCAGTGTGTCTGTAATTGTATATATTCAAGACATACCAGAGCTTCAAAATAAAAGGTAATCTCTTTGAAAGAAAGAAATGATTCCTCTTGGATCACTATATAGATGCTACCCTGCAAACCGTTACTTCCCCATTTGCTACTGAGTCTTCATCACAATATTCAGTCAATGTCAGCAGTCCTAGCTTAAGGACCATTACCCATTCCTATGCATGAGGGAAGGTGTCTTCTGAGGATGTCTGAGATCTCTGTGGGAAGCTACAGTTCTCAACACCTTCCTTCTGGACAGAACTGTGTGAGGAAATCACTACAAAGGAAGTAGAATTGTTTTCTTTCTCTCTGTTTGGATAGAAAAAAGGTGATCAAAGCCACACAATTTCTTTTTAGACTTCATTCTTCTGGCTCCCCAAAGACAAATTCAATAGCAAGGATATATTGTAAACCTTTGATTGGTTCAGTGCTATTTGGACCGATGCATCCAAAACTAAAAAGAAGACCTGGCCAAATGAATTTCTGATAAGTAATTCAATCAGATATAGAGAGCCAAATGCCATTTCTTCTGTGGGCTACACAATGCCAGAAGTCACAGTTCTTTCTCTGTGCTTAGCATAGTCCTACAGTAAGGACTATTACTTTACATTAAAAATTCCATCATTTGGGAATTAAAACTGCAGATTATGTGAACCATGGCCAAGATAAATCTTATTATTTTAAACAAATCTTTATAAGTATTGGCAAATGTAACAAAATTTCAAACATGAAAGCAAAAGGGAAATTTTTACATTTCAATTCTAGCATTGTAAAGGAAACTCTTTCATGCTGAAAATTCAAACTCAGCGTGTCAAGTAATTTCACTGTTACAGACTTGAATTACCTGCACTGGCCTGAGGGCATTATTCACTCTCTGAGAAAAATTGTACTTTAATATTGCTATGATTTTCCTGAGTAATTTTTATGCAGAAGCCGGGATGAATTTGAAACATCCATTTCGAGATTAAAGTGATGACATTTGGTGACTGCAGAGAACCATGTAATTGAGAATTGGGCTTAGGGATGTGCCCAAAATTAAATAGCAGAATGAGAAAACAGTAGTAATAAAAGTACCGATGTTTTGCTTTCTTTGCTTAACTTCAGGGGTGTGGATATTAAATAGGGTTATAAAATACAAACAAACCCTCATTTCAAAAATGTTTAGAAGGATACACTATATTGAATGCTTATGCTACATGGAAAGACCATGAAATTGTTGGCCACTGTCCCAGCCTATTTAATATTTCCTGTCACGTGCAGGAATAATCTTCCCACTCGCTTTTAATGGATCCATTTTTGGAAGCACGAAATTATCAATCTCTTTTAGGTGTTATCAGCTGCCCAATCATTTGTTAACTTCATATCAATATGGGTGCTGGGCCCAGCGCATGCTCTGAAAAGGATTAACTCCATAACAGAGTTTCATGCGCACTAAGGAGTTCCATCATTGACTCAGATACGGCAAAAAATTAATGTACAAATAGATGTCCTTACCCAAAAGTGTTTATCAAAAACCTTCCAGAAGCATGATTCCTTTCCAAATTCTGCATTAATTAATTCTCTTGTGAGCATATAGCTTTGAAGAAATGTGCAGATAGAAAAACTGATACTTTTATATGAAAATATATCAGTAAAATAGGGTAGAGTACCCAGTGTCTTTATTATCTAAATAAAGTTTATGGTAGGATAGTAGATGAAAAATTATACTATGTTAAAAAAGTAGTAGAACTTTAATTTAAAGAAAGCAAGTTAATAGATCCATTCTTTTCTTGAAGACTTCCTAGATCAGCTGTCTTACTATTTATATCAAGTTGAAGCCACTTCATTACAAAATGAGCCATAATTGTTAGTGTCTTGGCTCATTAATTTCAAGGTAATGAATTGTCTTAGAATCATGGAAATGGTCAGGTTGGAAAAACTTTTTAGATTGATTCCAACCATTAACCTAACACTGCCAAGTCCACCACCAAACCATGTTCCTAAGTGCCACGTCTACACATCTTTTAAATACCTCCAGGGATGGGGACTCAACCACTTCCCTGGACTTTAAAAATCTCATTACAAGGTTCTTCATTATAGTACAACATTGGTTAACTAAACATAATGAGGTTTAGGCATAAATGTTGAGCACTGAGGGAATGTATCTTGCAACTGATAGAGGCTAGGGGAACATGACATGGGAGGTTTTTAATAACTGAACTGCGGATGATGTGGGTTCACATATGTATTAGCTCTTACGCCTTGAATTCAATGTAATCCTTAAATTCTTGCTCTGTGAGCCAGTGACGGCTGAAAACATCACTAATGACAAGAAGCAGCAACTACTTCCATGAATGAAATATATTAGTCATGACAGAAGTTAATTAGTTTCTTCTTGCATCTGCACTGGTTTTGCCCAAGATTCAGTCTTGTTGGGAAAGAATAGCATTATAAAGCAGGGAGAAAGGATCCAAAAAAAAAGCCTCCTTTGAGAAGTAAAGGCTTCCTTCCAGAACTACTACCCTGTTTTTTAACAGGCAACACTAGAAATATTCACCAATGACTGCTCTTCTAAAAAAAAAAAAAAAAGTAAGAAATCAACTACTGAACTAACCTCAGTATATACTGTGCGGTTGCTTACTGCAGTAGGAGAAATTTAAAGCTACAGGAAGTAACTGTGATCTGTGAATGATCCACTGCCTACTGAAGACACTACAAATATTTCAATTCACCAAATTGTATATTAGATTCCAGCCACTAAAGAACCTAACAGTAATCAAACTACTCCAAGAACCAAACTGTTATATCACAGGACAGAACAAAACAGTAGTGTCAAAATTTATGACTGTGACAATATATCATAACATCAGCTGAAATAAACTCAGTGTGTTTTCTGCTTTAGCTAAAGATCCCCTATGAAAATTACTTCAATTTTTTTATTTTTCTGCTAAGCTTTTACTTACCTTCATAAGATTAATTTTTGTTATTCTTCCTCTTCTGCTACTGAAATGCAGCCCTGATGATTCTATCACTAAGTGGCTGAGTTGGTCTGAAGTTATCTCCTAGGATTCCATCACAGCCCTCTAAAAGCTCAGCACCTTTAACATGTGTCCTCAGTCTACGAAATTCCTCTATCTGAAAGGCAGAAAAACAGGCATGAAAAAGCTGAGATACATTCTTCACTAATGACCAATGATCAAAATCAGCCACTTCTGCAGCTTTGATAATTTGAGTGTTCGGGTACCACATGCTGAGGTCAACATACATCATTAGTAACATTTAAAAATAGTTGTCAGCACTGTCAAAGCATTTAACAGAGAAAAGTAATAACTTTTATGCACACAGTTTTGCCATGTGCATAAACTTATCTTTTGCTTTTTCACAGCTTCTTTTGGGATCTATAACTTTCCTAGCCATTGTGTATTACACTCTATGAATCAACCTCACAGTTGTGACATGAAAGTAATCATTCTGGTCTTCCTCAAAGAAGTGCATTTCATTAATAACTTGGCTGACTATAAATGGTTCTGAATTTCTTCCAGTAATTTATTTATTGCCTGAAACTGTTGCTTCATTTAAATAAAAATTATTTTCTAAACCAGAATTCTGAACAGACTCTCAGCTTTAGAGTAAGCCTGCTGAAATTTTATATGGAAAAATATGTTTTTCCCATCAAAATGAAATACTCCTTCTGGTGGTTCTGTAGATGCAGGTGTTAAGTGTACTTAGAAATCAAATACAAACAAAAAGTCAATATAAAACATTTCTATTGGTCCAAAACAAATATGTTTCTGCTTTAGATTTTTCTAAATGTGTAGGGAAGAATGTGAGCAGCTCTCTTCTCCATCCCTGATATCAGCATCAAGCTCTGTATGATAAAAAAAAACTAAGAAAATCAATGCATATCTCAGCAATATTACACCTTATTGTTCAACACTGCTGTTTGATTTAAGAGAATTATATTTTAAATAAGCAGTTACAACTAGTAAGAAATTCTGGTTGGTTTTGCTTTGGCATATTGACAAGCTACGCTAGCTGGATACAGCAAACCTATATGAAGGCTGACTCCCCTAGCCTGAGCCTTTGAGCCTGTACTGACCCTGTGATGCCTCACTATTCAGCTCAGCTGTGAAACAAGCTACACAAAAAGCAAAATGAAGCCTGAAGTATTTAATCATTTTATCATCTAAGAGATTATAGAGAGTTAATTTCTCCATGAAAAACACCCAATGAAGGATTACAGAGAGGATGCAAGTGTGATTCCAGGATTAAAAGAAATGAGGTACTAAATAGCAGTTAATGGCATTTTTATTCTTTTACTGCCTGCAGAGAACTCTTTCTCACTGCAACCTGGAAGACAACTGCCTTCATTGCTGTTTTCCACTCTACAGCAGAATTGATACAGACTTATTTACTTGATTTAGAGGCTAGCTCTGTTCTGCTTTATTTTCCTCAGAAAGCAGTGTGCTTGAAAATCAACACTCAGCTTCCCACAGCTGAGATATAAGACAACAGCTTAGACGCAAAAGATGAAAAGCAGAATGAACTGTAAAGCTCTTTGAAGGTTCTTTGAGAACAGAATCCTGTTTTGGATGATTTCTGTTTGCTTGTTTAAAGCAAACTGAAAACAAACTTACTACAGGCTTGGAACTGAAAAAGTCTTCAGGAGTCAAGACACTAGTAAATCACTGAAAGGATTTTGTAAAGGTAGCCTCTTTCATCGTCTGAATCAACTCTCAAAAATCTGAAATACTTTCAGTTTAGGAAGGAACATTTTACAAGAATGTGGCTTTTGTTTGATCTATTGAGAATGAGACTTCAAACAAACACAGATGAAGGAGAAGGAAGAGCAGACTCTGCAAAGCTGGTATTTATGAGCTGTCTCCCAATATAACTACAAATGCTCTGTCTCAGTCCCCACAGTAAAATCTTTCTCCCGGAGTTACTCCTCACAAAGCAGCTTCCAGTTTCTTCAGTCAGGAAAGTAGGACTGACCTGATCCCCATGCCTGCTCTTTGGTCTTCAGGGAAGTAAAGAATTGTAGCCCTCCTCCAAAGGGGAATCGCCTCTGAGATCATCAGCCTCCTTGTTTAGTCCTTCATATCATGATTCAGACAGAGACCTTCTATACACAATGGTTGTCTACTTCACTCTTGAGAAGTAGTTCTGTCAGAAAAGGACACCAGCTGTGCTGACAATACTTCCCCTGTTAAATTTCCACATGAGAAGGCAATACGTGTGCCGCACACATCCTGCTCAATGTCATATGGAACTGCTTACTTTCTCCTCCCAACCCCTCACAAGTCAATGCTGTGAAGTACACCTGCCAAGTACTACTGCCAAGGAAATAGATATTTTAGAGGCACATGGTGAAGCATCCTTGGATATTCACATACTTTCAACAGGAATAGCCATTTAGAAAAACTTTTCTCATTCCCAGAAGACACTGAGGATGACTTAGGCTTGTTCAGACTGAAATTCAGGAACAAATTCTAATCAGTGAAGAAGTAAAGCCACAATGTGAACAGTCACTATTAGCTTATATTTTGAAAAAAATTGCAAGAATGTTTTTACCACTTCCCTTTATTCAGATCTTGAAGACTGCTTTTTTTTTTTTTGCTTCCTTAAATATTTGCTGTAGAATAGAACATACAAAACAAAGAATTTGCATGTTTTCCACAGACATTCCTTCTATATGAGGAATAGAAGCACTATCCTTTTGCCTGAATACCATGAACCTGTCAAAGCACTTTATTTCATAGACTACAAAAATTTTACACAATTCCCACTCCAGCACCATATGCTAGTTACTATTTCTGTGCTTCAGGAGGTCTTGGTTTTGAATGAGGTACACAAAAGGACTAGAGACCTTGCCATTCAATACAAAGCCGGTTAAGTCTGACAATGAGTACAGCAGAATGACAGCTCCATGCTGCATCATTGTTTAAAATCCCTATTCTGAGTGGCTTAGACAATGTACTTGTTCTGGGCTCCAGTGAACCACAAAGCACATTATTCACAAATGTCCAGTTTTTTTAAAAATATAGTGAAGAGAAGCACGAGCAAGTCTTTTTCAATTATTTTCTGCTCTTTACTGGCCTAACAGGTTCTATTTTCTCCCATTGCATTTCAGAAATGTACAGGCATGGGTGAGGTGTCTCACAAAAGCAGTCAGCACAGTTCTTCCTGGGCTGTATATTTCAACATAAGACATGTGAGGATGATAAAAAAGCCACAAAAGGTGAGCAGGAATATGCTAAAAGAGCACTGCAGGGTGCTGCTTCCCAGACAAGCTCCTTTCCACTGAGATCAGTAATAAAACTCCTAGAACCAGATTTGCAAAGCCCTTATTTTCCAAGGGAGAAGAGTTGCCTGCACGCTTTATTCAGACCTCACAGAAAGACCCGTGAAGGAAACAGCTCTCTGATGGAAGTGAAGCCAGTGACTTCCAATGAGGAGACAGCACTGGACTCCAGCAAAATACATCCCAACTGTAGTCCTGGCTTGCTCTTTTGCTGTTCATATAACAAACACACTCAGATGCCGGCTGCTGAAGTGAGGTGCATGCAGAGATGAATCTCCTTTCACTTAACATTGACTTGGATCAATAGCAAATCAGCTCATCAGTTGAACTTTACTATCTATAAATGCCTTCAGAAGAAACAAGAAAAGGTTCTCCACTTTGCAATGATCAGCCTGTTATGTCTATGTTAAAATAGTTACTTCTTCATTGTTTCAAAAAATAAGCAAATGTGAAAATACACAGATGTGACCATGAACTAGAATTGTAATTTTCTTCTTTTTTTTCACTTATGACCTACAATTTGCTAAGCTAACCAATATTACTGTGTTAATTACAGGAAAAGAGAATATGAATGAGTATCTTGTCTCCAATATATTAACAAGCTTCATCGGAGGAAGGCAATAAAACCTATTGCATATCGGACTGTGTTGCTCTTTACTGTTTCTTGTTATTGACACTCAGAAGTTGATTATTTATGGCCTGAAAAATGAAAGTAGAAAGCCTCAAATTTGTCTCTTATCGGCTATAACCACAGATGCTACTAGTATTTATATAAATGGCTTGAAGTTTCATAAGCTGTATTCATTAATATCTCACAGAAGAAAGTTCTACAAGTTAATGACACATGTAAAATAGTATATTTAAATCCATCAGAAATGCATTTGTGCTGAAATCTATGCTTTAACACTACAAGCAGGATTAATAAAATTAAATGCCTTTACCAGCCTGCCATGGATGTTTCAGAATGTTATATGCCATACTACGTCTCTCATTTTCCATAGAGAAAAGCCCTTACATTTCCCATATCTCCTTAAACTGAATCTCTCACAGGCACTCTTGCTCACATGCACAAAAGAGGCCCAATACTTAACCGCAGCCAAAATGCTAATTACAAGTTAAAATCTTGGATGTCTAGGCTATAGCAAACTATCCTGGCACCCTAAAAATCATATTTTGGGCACCATGGAGAACTCTCAGTCCCTTTTCCGAATCCCAGAATCACCATCTCTCACTTATTTGTTCACATATTTATTTTCAATTGACATCTGAAAGCAGTATCTGATACAAGTAAAATTTTTATCCCATCTTGGCAAAAGTCCTTCATGTGCTTACTAAGTTGTCTCTGCACAACCTTAATTTTAATGCTGCTGCATTTGTAATTATCAGTGAGGATTTTTTTTCCTAAGGGATGCTGATCTACAAGTTCAAAGCACTGTGGATCACATTGGCATAAGCCCATTCCAGTCTCTCGCTCTGGTCCAGTGCCACATCTCACCTGCATACATACCTGTTTGTGGCAGGGAAAAAGCCCCCCATGACATGTGCACTCTTTGTCACTGCAATGCTTTCACTGGATTTGGTATATAACAATTTAAGGCAGTAAAACACAAAACAGCTACCCCTCACTTAAAGAACTCCATGGTTATGAGTCACAATCTTTTCCCCAGGCATAATATTATCTTCTGGAGACTCAGCCCCTTCACACTATGCTCCAACACCTTGTTTCCTTGTGGTAAATGAGTACATAATAATGTTAACTAAACTCACATTTCTCTGCTTAATTGCTCTTTTATTCACTCTCTCACCATAGAATCACAGAATCATAGAATCATAGAATCATAGAATGGTTTGGTTTGGAAAGTACCTTAAGACCATCTAGTTCCAACCCCCCTGCCATGGGCAGGAACACCTCACCCTACACCATGTCGCCCAAGGCTCTGTTCAACCTGGCCTTCCATCTCCCACCATATGTGGATGGCTTGAACTGTGCCCTCTGTGCATCGACTGGATTAAAAGGGAATAGAGACTACAAAATCTGCAAGTAGCATGAAATCAAATATCATATAATGTCTCAGTGTCATAGCTATGGTCTTTATAATTCTGATTAAATACTCTTAGTTATCCATATAATACCTGGACAATTAGCTGCCAAGTTACAAAATGCAGTGTCTTTTAAAGTTATTCTGAATCTAATAATGCCAACAGAGTTCTGTTTCCTCTTTACTCAGCAGTAAGCAGCCATAAGACTTACCCTTTCACAAGCAAATAAATACCAGATTCATGATGGGATACATTTAAGTTGCAGCTACCATGCAAATAAGCTTACTGGGAGCTATTGCTTTTACCATATGATTAGAACTAGGATTCAGTTTTCATTGAAAAGAAACACTGACAAATTGTGAAAATATTGTGCTGGGATTGCTAGAAAAAAATTAGAGTATTAAAGATGAAATAATGTAAATCTGAATTTATCACCTTTAATATTTTTTTCCCTTCTGTTTGCACATGCTTTGGAGCAAGCAATGAAGATTAAGACATTCACCTTCAGGGATTCTCAACAGTTTCACTTAAATTAAACCCACATTTCTCCAACGAGGATTCACAGAATGTGGGAGAATCATGAATTTTCATTGTTTTTACCGGGATTATTTACAGACAGCTTTGAAATGTTTTCTATAGAAAGCCTTACATGACTGCTAGATAAAATTTATAAAAAAACCCAACTTTAACATACATACATGTAAAATCAAACCTAAATAAGCAGTTTCCATTTGACATACATTACAAAACAGAATTGGAAAAGCAAGACAAGTTAAATATAGTTCAGTGCAATATAGCTAGCCTGTACTACGTTACATTTTTCATTCTCCAGGACATAGTGTCTCCCTGTGACTTTTTGTTCTTCTAACATCAAAAAGCAGTAATATTTGAAAGCTTACAATTACAAAGAATTGAATTTCTCTTGCACATTGACTTTTTTCTTTTTCTTTCACTTAAATAAAGAATTATTTTAAATGCAGATGATAAATGATAAGGTTTTTCATCTCTGACCTTTGCATTGCTTTCAGTGACTCAAAAGGCTTAACCTTTATTTGAAAAGCCATGTACTGATCTAATAGGATCTTCAAGGAGAACAGATATAATGTCCTGATATATATATTTGCACGCTATAACCTTTAGCTCATAACCATATTCCAAGGTCACTTTAAGCACAGCTGTTACCTGCACTTGGGACACAGTCAAAGGATAGCGGAATAATATCCAGGTGACACCTTCACTGCAGGGTGGAATGGTTAGGGAGCCCTCATACACCCAGTAGTCACGCAGAAGAGGATCTGAAATTGAAAGAAATGTGGAATTTTAACGACATTAAGAAACATCACTCTGTTTTTCAATTATGACACCTTATGACAGCCACGAGCTTGCTCATATGATGAAGTTAGTACATAGTAAGCTACAGTGTGAATTTATAACCTGCCAAGCACTGTCCACCACTTAGCTCATGTCTTCTGGTCATTATATTGCAGTAACTTCTCCCTGCAGATGACCATTTTAAAGATGAAAATGCCACTTCATAGATGTGAAAAATAATGTGCATGATTCATTAAACTAACACAGCAAATAAATAATGTGGTGATAAAGAACTCCTCTTAGTGACAAAGCTACAAGACACATCTTATTTTGAAGGCAGAGGGTCTGTGGTGATCAAATTTTCACTGACTTCCACATTTAGGACATGTCTCAAGGATGAGTTTATTTTGTTTTTTATAAAAAGTCAGTGAAAACAGCTCAAGCCAAACTTTTCAGTTCACAATTCTGGTGACATTTTTCGAGATGCACTGGAGCCTCCTAGCTTTGGAAAGTGAGTTGAATTTCATAGGGGAAAAAAATCAAGGTTTCTTTAAGAATAAATTTATTTTAATAAGTTTATAAGCTTATTAATAGGTTTATAAAGAACTGTTGTCTCTCAAGAAAATGTGCAATGGTTTGTCCAAGCAGAGCTTTAACTCTAAAGACAACACAACATACAACAGTTTGATGTTAATTATTTTAACCTTAATTCTTCAAAGATTTGAGTCACACTGCACTTTGCAAGACTACACAGTGCTTTCCTTTGCTGCTGTAGGCCATACTCACAAATCACTCTCTGACAGAGCTTAAGATGTATGGAGAGGAAAATGCCTGACTGTAAAAGAAGGGACAAGAAACGAACCTAGAGAGGAACTGGAAACAAAGGGTGGCTAATCATGCCATGGAGAGCTAGGGGGAAGATTGTCACTGGCTTAACAAGTACAGAATGTGAGACTGAAAACAAAGAAACTTGCTTGGATGACCTAACCTGTTACTGCCGTTTCACTACTAGCTTAGAGGAGTATCAGTAGAACTAAATCTTGCTATTGAAGCCTGCGATTGTCAGTGAATGGATTTTGGTTTGTTGGAGTAATTTTCTTTCTCAGTTAGGGAATTATATGGCAAATCCATTGAAAGCAAGTTGCATTATCAATCAGTCAGGAGTTAAGAACTGCAAGAATTAATCCAGCCCATCCTGTGCATGCTCTGTGACACCATCTTGATACATGATCGTACGTCTTTTCAAGAGAACCTTTCATCATTTACTTGAAAAGATGGATTATTTTGTTTTGAAAACCTTCTAATAACATTTGGATTTCTCAGCACAATATGCGGTCTTAGTCTTCTTTTTTCCATGCTAGTCAAACCCTGCTTGTTACAAGGATCACATTTTGTCATTTTTCGTATTTCTAATGCACTCATTTCTTCAGTGTCTGAGTGCTTCCCAAACGTGACTTCATTTATCCTTCCAACACCCCATGGTGTGAGGAAAGACAATTACTGCCACACTTTAAAGATGGGGAACTGAGTACAGAGAAGTTAATGTCAAATGCATCTATTCATTTGAGGTGTTCAGTATGAGATGCTTAGAACCTGATTTCTCAAGAGTAATTAACTTTCTATAGCACTTAATACAGTCAGAGCACTGCTCCCATTGACTTCAGTTGGAGGCGTAAGCACTCAGCACTTCTGCAAATCAGACCCCATGATCTCAAGTCGGGCACCTAGAAAATGAGGAACACATAGTTAGAGATGACATATGAAAATTTTGGTTTATGTGACTCAATCAGCATCAAACAGGAACTGTGAGGCAGGGGTCCTGTAAAAAATAATTTATGGTCATGCAATTAAAAGATGTCTTCTAACATATATGCACAAAGGGGCACAGGCAGCCTAAATTCCTGCAATTCCTAATTGCTGAGCACTTGACTTTGCAACCTAAATAGCATTCTTTTGATATATATAATTGATACAGTTTCAGGTAGACCTGGAGTACTTTGAAAATTTAAGATCCTGCTACTACAGTGCAGAATTTAGCTCACAAAGATTCCTTGCAGAAACATTCATCTTGTAGAAATGTGGGGTTTTTTTTAAAGTCATGTTCTTTTTAAGACAAGGTAATATAGTAGTAATAGACAAGTAGTAAAGGTAGTCGTTGTTTCTTATTATTACTCTTTCAGCCATATGAATTTGAATTTGCTTCCCATTGTCACTACTCCTTGTATACTACAGAACTGTCACTGCGTTATGCACTGCCTTTTGATGCTGCCAAAAGGCTACCTCGGTAAGTGGGTAACCTTAGCTTCCTATTCTGTGCCAAACTAGAGAAAGCAATACACACAGCTCCCCCTCTAGATAGGATGAGAAATCATCAAGAAAATTAGCAGCAGTATTGCCAGCAGTGCACGGACTACAGTATCACATCCCACTCACAGGTGCAGTTGTATCATAAATTCCAAAGGGACTTCATCCCTATTCCTGTTAGCAGCACTAGGTGCAATATGTATTACCACCTTATGGGACATACTCCCAGGCTTGCAGTTAGACTGTGCTTTAGCTCAAGATTGTCTCAGCCTCTGCAACTAGGTACTAATCCACATACACAAAAATAAGCAAAGACACCTACCTGGCAATAAAGAGTTGGGATTAAAACAGGGTATTGTTTTGGACTTTCCCTGAAAAAGTGAATACAAATAAATCTCATATCTAGTTTCTATTAAAATGATGATGAATGGAGAGGTAAAACACACTGTGTGCTCTTATAACATTAAGACTTGAATTCCTGTGCAAAGTAACCTCATTACTAGCCCCCATTTAATCATCATCGCATTTGTCCTTGCAGCTACACAAACACATTTTTTATTGTATTTTATTTTTTATTTCTAAGGTTATCCCAACAATTTGCTAACTTTCTGCCTTTAGTACCTGAGCTCCTTCCAGGTCCCAGCCTTGAAATTCTCTACATGAAACTCAGGGTTTCTGAGTTTAAAATCCAAGGGCCAAAGTGAGCTTTGCTTTGACTGATGTGGATGACACTTAATAAGGTAAAGCTGGTTTCACATATTTAATGCAAGAAATTTTTTTCTATGCCAAAAGTACATTTGATGCTGATCCTCTGAAAATTGTTATTATAACACACTCACGATGACAAGTCCTTTCATGACCTTCCTCTACTTGGCTGGCATTTCAGTAATGAAACTATGGAGTTCTAAACACTAACTATTTTCCCTGACACCTTCATAAACAATGAGTTTGTAATCTTAAGCATCATGACTAAAGTTTACCATATATTATTTGACTGACATATTTTCAATTCCATTCTAATAACAGCTTCTAATTTTTCTACACTTCAGCATCCACTGAGGTGAATGGCTAATGTCTCCAGACCAATACAGAACATCTCATTAATACATCTCAAAGTCCTTTAAAATCAAAGGTAAGAATGATTATTTCTATGTCACAGACAGAGACATGAAGCAGAGAGATGGAAGTAACTTGCCCAAGGTCATTTAAGATAGCATTAACTTTCTGGAAAGCACTCATATCTCCTCAGTCCTGCTAGGTTTATTATCTGTCCTTCAGGAGCCCCACACATACTCCACCTGACAAGACAGCATTGTGTCCATTGATTTCCCACTGCAAGTTAATATGGGTGCTTAGTTCATCTATTCTTTTCCTCTACAAATGAAAACCAGATAGTTTGGAGATAGTGCTGCTGGTGTTCACTAAGCATGGTGCAGTGTTTACATTCACACTGACTCCACGAAAATCACTGAAAAGGGACTATTTGCAATCAGTTACTGGTATAGGAGATCAAATTTTCTGGCCACCAGAAAAGGAAGCAACTACAAAGACTGCATATTATCTGAATACTGTAAAATGCTGAGGTTCTGATGCAGGCCACCAAATTACATTTTTCACACATGGCTTTACCCCAAAAACATTTGAAACCCATCTCTTAGCTTCACACACGCTTTCTCTCTACCTGGTCAATGAAGGAAGCATTTCTTCAGACAATGCCTTACCTTGTACTGGATGTCCTGGAGAATTTCAGTCACAGCCTTTAGGCCTGCGTGCTCTTTTCCTATCTGAAATGCAGCAAGCAGAGATGAGTTGCAGTATTTTGCTGTTTCAGAAACTCTAAGGCAAGACAGAGGTCAGCTAGAACAGTAAATTCTGTAGTTTGTTTCAGTCAAACTACACAGCATTGTGTTAACCAAACACACTGATACACGGCACCTCCAAACAATTAAACCACTGTAAAGCCACCAGTTAGAAGGAAATGAGGTAAATAACTTTAAAGCAGAAAGAGAAACTCACAGAACAAGAGACAGAGTCACAGTTAAGACTGGCAAGTTTTGACTAACCCTGTTTTGCAGCATATACTGCATGTGGAGTCAAAATCATGCAGCATTATGGCATATAAATGCCAAGGATACAGTTTGTCCTTACCAGTTTTTGTCAGAGAAGTACACAGAAAGGAACAGAGTGAACATGACAGACACTTTTCAAATTTGTCCCCACAGTGTTGCAAATCTGGCCCAAGGTGAAGCTTGGGGGAGTTTTTTCCTGCCTGCAGAGTGCAGAATGGCAGATCATCTCCCTCATGGCATCTCTGGGATCCTGCCAGTGACCCCGGCAGCCTACAGCACTGCCTTTACTAAATGCACAGAAGATGGGGTTTTCAAAAGAAACCCATTGTCAAAATAAAAGATTCTCATTTTCCACGTATGCTGCTCACTCTGCACAGCGATTTCAGATGCTTCTAAATTGCCCATTCTAGGATCCTGGCTTTTACATTCAGAACAACATTTCTGAAATAGGAAGACAAAGAACAGCCTTCCACTTGATTTCTTTGCCAGCACATACACATTTGAGGTGAGGAATAAAGCAGGCAAGAGTGAGAGTAGGAAAGCTAGACCCTGAAAATTTTGTTTGTTTTTTGTTTCTTTTGGAATAGAACGGCACAGTAGTCACTGGAGGGAAACAACTGAATGTCAAACAAAATGTACTTTGTTATTTCTTGGAATTTAAGAAGATTTTCTTTTGTTTCAGAATGGAATTTCAATTTTAAACCTTCAACATGCATAAAAGATACAGAAATCACTTCAAAGACACTGTTTTAAGAATCACCAAGGGTTACACTTAAATGACACTTAAATCAGTGAAAATATTTTCATTGAACTTAAAATGATGTCTTTGAGAACTGTGATGCAAAACTACAACATTTCCATGCCTCTGAAACAGAAGAAATGTTCACCAAATTTCCTCTCCCTACTCCTTTAATAAACAGCATAAATACTGTTATTTCTTGGTCAGTTGTAATTATATGATGCCTTTCTTGGCTAATGAAAAAGCCCTTTAGAATACTTACAAACTCTGATGAAGGTGAGAGACCAGAAATGGAAAATGTATCATTGAAGTTTCAGATTTATTTAAGAACTTATACATAACTTTCTAACTAATTCAAAGGTTACCTCTGCTGGAATTAGAAAGTGACTTACATAAGCAATTATTACACAGCCCTCCAGATACAAAACTGAAGACTAACTTCCATTTTTAGCAGTTCTGAGTGTTGGAGCTGTAACCAACATACCTTTAAATTCAAACAGAAGTAAAGCTCAAAGGCACTCATAAACTCGCTATGAAATACAACAAATTAATAATATGACTGTGAAAGAAAATCCATTTGATCTAAGCATGAACTCTAAACCTCTTCCTCCAAACCCATTTAAATAAAAGTTTGCCATTTCTCATGAGGAGGATGGTGTCTGAGACTAACACTGAAAATCTTCTTTATAGTGTACATCCCTTGAAGCACCTTCAATAGCAAATAGACAATGGGGCTAACTTCCCAGCTGGCATTACACCTTCTCCCCAGGAAGCTCTAAGCCTCCTTTGTCACAGGCTTTTTCTTGGGGTCTGCGGCAAGTCTTGCTACACTATCAGCCTGGCATCTCTGAAGAAGTGATGTCATCCCACCTCACATGCATTCTGTGTGAAGAAACACACTTGTCCCTGTGTTCAGAAAAGCACAAGCCTACTATTGGTTTTCAGGTGTGCCAATGGGTTAGGCTTTTTCTTCCCCTTTCCTCACCTCCTCTGTATAGCTCCTCAATCCCCAAACAGCAGGCCTGGCCAGGAATGGAGAACAACACATCACGGATATAGTGAAGCATTTGTGCCTCTTGACAACCTCATTCTGTCCTCAGAGGAATGGAGAGTGGATATCTGCTTATAGCCAGAGTCACAGAGAGATGGCCAATTATGTATCATCTCTTCTTTAACTAACATACTCCCAACATCCCATTTAAACAAAGATTACTTGTTTAATTCACAATGGAATTTCAATACACACACCCAGAAAACATGACTGAGAAGTATATTTCAAATAGAATACCAGCAGTCATACATTGTTTTATGAAATCATTAAAAATGAAAGAAAATGGAAAGGAACTCATTCTCTTCAGACAAATGATAGTGCAACACAGGAAACCTACCTGCACAAACAAAGCAATAATAGCTATGCCATGCTTCTTCCCTACTGCCTCATCAATGCTGCTGTACAGTGTGGAGTTCCAGTGCATTAGGTGAAGCTAAAACAAAGCAGTGAAAACAGATTGATAGAGAAATACGTTTTGTAATAAAAAACCACCAGCAGTTAACAACAATTAACAAAGACTCAGCGTGTGTGTGCATGCTAGAGTATACATACGTGTATGCCTATGGCTGTGCATGTATATATAAGTGGATTCCTATTATAAACATAAGTAATCCCAAGGAAAAAAAGGGTCAGCTGCAGAAAAAGTGATGTTACCAAATGTCTACCAACAAAAGTGTAACTATGCTAATGAAGTTAATGGCGATTTACCAAGTTCCTCACTTTGAGTACTGAAATAATGTCGCTGATAAAACCCACCAATTTTACCTCTCAGCCATCCAGCACTCTTCCAAGGCAGGAGTATGATTATGGACATAGGCTGTCCAAACACACATTTGACTGTGTACTATTTTAATGTCACTTGTCTCACATTATCAACTCCCAAGATGAGTCACCCAAATGTCAGTAGTAAGAGTAGGAGAAGTGATTTCAGGAAAGGTTAAACATACAGAAAGTCAAGCAGAGAAAAATGGCTGGAGGACCACCTTAGGGACAGCAGTGAAAGGGATGCCAAAGAGTAAAATATGAGCCCTCAACCGCCTTCTCCTACATGGTAGCAGGGCCTGTAGGAGGTAATGCATGAATGCAAGTCAGGCAACAGACACAGGATAGTAAACACAAAGTCTCTTCTGGTGAGGTGTCACAGCATGATTTGGGAAGTGGTGTTTGAGAATAGTTCTGGAAGACAGAACAATTGGAAAGAGACATTGAAAAGAAGAAGAGAGGCAGAAACGAAGGCGGGGGGGCAGAAGGGAGGGAGGGAAGGAGGGAGAAAGGGAGAGAAGGAGAGGGAGGGAGGGAGGGCAGTATCTACTGTACTGAGAGGTAATATGCATTTCAAATATGAGTTTTTCCAGCGCTAATGCTAAAATGCAATCTCTGTGGCTGGGTCTGATAACATTGCAAAGCTTCAACATCCTGAGCACAGCTGCTTTGAAGTTTATCTGCCAACAACTTTTGCACATTTCAGATAGATAGAACAGCTAAAAAATACAAACTCTTAGATTTAATTCCTGTTGTAAAATCATGATCAACGCTTTGCTCAGTCATGTGTCTAAGAAGTTAAAATGTCACGCTGTTATCTAACATTTTTTCCACCTTCAGCAAAATTAGTTTTTAAAACAGATAAGTGCGCCTTCCTAGTTTGTTTTTCATTTCTGCACAGTTACAGCCTCTCTGAAATGCTTATTGACCCTCAGACAACAGTAGTTTAGTCAGGCATCTCAGCATTTCAGAAGACCAGTTCCTCAAGCAATCACTCTCCCTTTATTTAATCTCTGATGAGAATTTTGGGCACTCCTCTTGATGACTGTCATTTCAAAAGTCAATACAAAATTTTAAATTAACATACTGTAAATCAAATTTAATTCCAAATTATCACACAAATAATTCCATTCCTGCTGATCAAAGGTGCCTGCTGTGCTAAAAATATGAAACATTTTTCTTTAAAAATATCATAATCCTTTTGTACATGAGAACACTAATACAAATGTACTTGCCCACAGCTACAAAACTTCTAGACATACAAATGCTCTGTTAGAACTAAGTTATCTATTGCCCATGGATTTACTTGGTGCCGTGTACTTTATCAGCTATAAAGAGCTTTGCTACACATTTGATTTTCCTTTGGCTTTTAAAGGAACAAAACCGCAGGATCAAATAATGAGGCTTTAGTCTCCAGGCTCACGTTAGCAGACACAGAACTACCACCACCCGAGGAGACAGAGCCGGAGCTCTGCATTTTCGCAAAGACTAGCCTGGCGTTTCCATGAGCTATCCACTAGAGGGGGCTCAGAGAGCCCCACAGTTCTCACCTAAACCTTGCCGTTAAGAAGCAAACACGAAAGACGAGGACGACTCGCAGTCGGGATGGCAATGCCCTTGGTGCAGCGAGAACAGCGCAGCATGGCACCGGGACGCGGTTGGTTGGACATGTCAAAGCAAGCTTGTCCTTTGGTAGCTGGAACAATAGCGCTGAGGGCTATCGCCAAATATAATGAGACCATGACTTTGACTGTGTCAACAGGCGGGTCTCGGCTAAAGCAGCCGTGGCTTTCAGCATGTTACACTCCTTTGCAGCTGAAGTCTAATCTGATGTTTGTCAGCATTCTGACAACACTGGGGTGGGGTGTTTTTTTGAAGCTTTTAAGCAAAATGCTGAGCCCCAGCAAAGAGGAAAATGAGCAAGAGCTTCTGACCATACCAGCAATGACTACAGTTCATCCAGAAACAGATTCCTGTTCTGTCCTAGGCAGCAGGCTCATGAGGACACACTTTCCTATGACAAGGCCATACAGCAGTTAGAAAAATGATGCCAAAACTTCTTTGTAATACTATAAAACATGAATAGGTCTAGAATTAGTCTGTGCAGCAGCATAAGTAGCCTAACAGGAAGACATGCTGCAAAATATACTGAGCTGCTGCTTAAAGGGGGGGGGTGGGGGCACAGTGCAAAAAGCCCTGTGGCTGAAACTGCTTTCCAAGGAACATACCTACCGGCCAGCACCTCCTCCCACATCTCCAGCAGATATGGGGAGAGTAAGTTAAGTATTAGCTATGCATTTTAAGAGTATATTTAGGGCTCTGAATCCCCTCCAGGCCTCCTTTCCTTCTACCAGCTCAATAGAGGTCAGGATGGTCTACTAAAAAAACCCCAGCATCACACAAAGACAGAAAAGGGATGTACTTAAGGCTTCTGTAGACACCCCTAAATTAATTTCAGGTTTAGTAACCAATATTACTAAATGTATCAACATGAAAAAATGGCCTGCTGACCTGATCCAGCAGCAAATTTATTACATTCCCATGTTCTGCAGCAAGGTGATATTTGGAATAGCTATTCAAAGAAAAGGTTCTGTCATTAGGGATTTACAAACTGAAATCAGACAGGCAACCTAATGGAAAATAATAATTAATACCATAATATTTCCTAACAACATGCCAACAGGCTCCACATCTTTTGCTCTCTGATAAGACCATGCATGCACACTGAAATAAATAAATGGTTTTCAACATGCACTTAAATAAATGGAAGTCAAATCAAATTAATTCTTCTACAGAGCAGGAAAAATATAGCTCAGATGGGGGCTGGGTAAGTACAAAACAAATGATTCAGAAAGGGAAATATTAGCAAGGAAGTGGTAAGGCCTGAGTGTAGCAAAGTGCTGCTTTCAAGTTGTGGTTTATCCTGTGTATTTGTGTGGTTCTCTGGAGCTGTTCTGCCTTTTGTTGGCTCTGGTTTTGTTTGTAACATGACATCAGATGAAAACATCAGACAACAGTTTAAAAAAAAGATAGCAAAAAGTCCACAAACATTACAAAATTTGAACTCTAGAGAGTACAGTCCACAAACAACATGGCCTGTAACTCTTGTTAATATTTTATGGGAATCAGATGTGCAGAGAGGAAAGACTCAAGCGCTTTTACAAATCTTGAAACTGTCAATGTAATATAATGGCCATGCACATTGACAGCTTCATACCCATACATCTATATCTTACAAGTAGGAATAGCAAGAGAGGCTTATTAGATTAGTGCTCCGTATTTCTGGTAACCTTCAGTTTCACGTTGATTTGAGACAGCTACATAAAAAGTGCATACTCACAAGGGGTGCCAGTCTCTCATATGAACATAAGCATGTGGGTTTTTTTAAATAATCAGCTGCAGTGTGTTGGCAGCTTACCATTGTGTGGTTTTCATTCAGAGCACAAACAAGCTGCACATGCCAGTAGAGCAGGAGAGGCTCTGCTCAACTTGCTAGCTAATGTTTTGATACTCAGTAGATATGATGGTTCTATACAACCAAAATGAGTCATCCATGCTGTCACTGATTATTGGTATCTGGCTCAGCATGACAGGCAGTGTATTTTTACAATAAATAATCAGAAAACTGTGAGAAATGCCTTTGAGCATTCAAAAAAGGCATTTTTCTCTTAGGCAAATTAATAATTTGGAGCCTTTTAATATTCCAGCTGTAAATCAAAGAATTGTAGCAGTGACTTCCTTTAAATCAGGTAAGCTGTAAACTCATGAAGACAAATAATAATAAAGTGCTGATAAAGTATATTTGTTCTGTGAAGGGACTGGAGGGATTCTCCTTCACAGGAAAGATTAAGAAATTATTCCAGGTAGCAGATGAAACCCCACAGAAGAATTATTCTGCATTGGACATATTCTGAGAATCTTCCCAATTTTCATCTAGTCCCCACTCAACCAAAAGACACTGATCCCAGTCCTAATGTCCTTGCTTAGGAAAAGCTGACACTGACATGAACAAGGGGCCCATCTCAACGCAACATTCTCAAAACTAAGGAAGGACTTAAAAATTCTGGCTTTAAAATCAACAAATGAAAACTCTGCACTTGAATCCATTCCTTTCTCTACTACACATATCTCTTTTATGTCAATATGAAAAAGGAAAGGACTGGGATGGTAAATTTTTACACGGAATCGGTCCCTGGAATGACAGATTCTGGCAGGAATCAGAGTTACTGTATATGACCTAGCACATTTAGCTGTTCTGAAAGCCAGTTTCTCTCTAATAAAAAACAAAGTTGCAAAAAACATGTACATTTTTCAGGTCCGGGGCACTGCCTACTCTGCGAAATCTGCAGGGTCCTAAGCTCACCAAGGGCAAAAAAAATGATCCTTTAAGCTCTATTGCTGATCTTACTTTATTCCCAGCTCACACATAAAAACATACAATGACAGGATAATTTATTTGGAAGTGGCCTCTGAAGTTCAACTGCCTCCCTCCCCCATTCACAGCAGCACCAACTTCAAAGTTAGCTGCTAATTGAAAGTCATCATGAGATCATGCTTTGATCAAAGCAACATGAGATCAGGTTGCTCAGGGCCTTGTCTAAGTTTGCTCATCTCCAGCAATGGAGATTCTACAACTTTTCTGGGTAACCTGTTCTGTGTCTAACCTCCCCC